CGTGACACAGAGAAGTGCTAAGTGAAAGAGGAGCGGATGTCATTAACCTTCTTTTCCAAAGCGGTTGACAAAGTCATCCGCAGAAAGGGAGGAGGGAGGGGGATGGGGTGGATGATTAAGGAGAGAGGAGAAGGTGGAAAAGAGTTTCCTATGGTTAGAGGCAGAAGCTTTAAATTTAGAGTGATAGAAAGTGGCTTTAGCAGCAGATACAGAGGAAGAGAAGGTATAGAGGAAGGAGTGAAAGGATGATAGGAAAACTAAACTTCCGGAGGACCTAAATGTTCACTAAGCTGCCCGCAGCCCTGTTCTGTAAGCTCACAATGAGTCACTCAGCCACAGAGCCGGAGGGGAGGGCCGGGAGGGCCGAGCAAGCCGGGAAGAAAGGGGACAGTGCGAGTCATAGGATGCGGAAAGGGAGGAGAGTAGGGTCAGAGACAGAATCAGGAGGGAGAAGGATTTTGCGGAAGGGAGAGATGATAGGATAGAAGAGGAGAGAGTAGTGGGAGAGAGAATGAAGATTGCGACGGCACTTGACCATCTGGGTAGGGGCTAGGGTTGGAGGAAAGGGAGATAGAAAGGGAGACAGAAAAGGAAACAAAGTAGTGATCAGAGACCTAGAGGGGGTTTGCAGTGAGGCGAACAGCCTCTAGTAAAGATGAGGTCAAGCATATCACCTGCCTTGTGAGTTTGAGGGAATTGGGAAAGGGTGAGGTCAAGAGGCAAGGAGGGGAAAGGGTTGTAAAGAAATGAATCAAAGGCCGATGTCGAGAGGTTGAAGTCGCCAAGTATAAAGAGCGGTGAGCCATCATCAGGAAATGAGCTTATCAAGGTGTCAAGCTCATTGAGGAACTCTCCAAGGGTACCTGGTGGGCGTAGATGACAACAATGTTAAGCTTGAGTGGACAAGTGACAGTGACGGCATAGAATTCAAAATATAATTATTATTATTATTATTATTATTATAAATGAGGAGATGGACAGGTGAGGGAGAAAAGAGAAAATCTCCAGTTAGGAGAAATGAGTAGCCCTGTGCCACCACCATGACGACCAGATGCTCTTGGACTATGAGAGAAAACAGTCAGATGAAGAGAGAGCAGCAGTGTTCTCTGGGGTGATCCATGTCTCCGTCAGGGCCAAGTCAAGGGACAGCATAGGCTGAGATGAACTCTGTGTTTCTGACCGCAGATCGGCAGTTCTAAACGCTGCCAGAGACCAGGAATTCCACATGGGTTGTGCGCACAGGGTAGACTAAATTAGAAGGGTTGCAGCCAAGGGGTGGGGAGCGTCTGAAAAGCCTACAGGAAGAGGAGCGAACAGGTATAGAAAACACACAGTTGCCAAAGCTACAAAAGAGCAAAATGAAATCAGAAAATAAGTAGGTAAGATACTCAAGAGAGTGGTGTGGAGCCTTCCTCAAAGAACTCTGCAGAACAGTCTTAGTTTTGCCAACGAGACCACCGCTTACAGATGCCACTGAGAAACCAGGGGAGTACTAACACTAATTGCCTAGCAGAGTTGAAACCACTCCCCCTCCAATACAGCCACTGATTACCTAAACAAATCACAAATTGCCCTGCCCCTTAATTCTGGTTGATGTGTCAACAATCTGCAAGTTATGAGCAGTCGGCAGTTCACACACCAAGTAGGCTACTGGGAAGAGGCAGTACTTAAAGTAGATGGCCCTAGCTGGCAAAAAGACAGTACTAGACAACAGATAACAAAAATCATACTTCTCACTCCTGGAGATATCAGGAGTCCTCTACTTACAGAATGATGGATTTGTAAGGCACAATTGTTAAAATCGGTTATAGCTCACTTTTCTGGTAGTTAAGTTTATATCCGGAAAAGATGCCAAATTGTTTAAGAATATATAGTATTTTAGGGGAAATGATTACTGGATCCGTTACATAGATCTTAACATCCACATTGAGAATAAATATGGGGTGGTAGGAAGCACAGTCTGCAGGGTCCTTACCCTTCCTAAGTATAAGTGATATGGAAGCTTGTGTGAGTGTAGGTGGCAGGGAACCATTTGCTAAGGATTCACTAAACACCTCCAAAAGCAAGGGAACAAGTTTTTCAAATAATTTATTGTAAAATTTGGTGGGGTAGCCATCAGGTCCCGGAGCTTTGCTACTCTGCATTGATCAAATTGACTCTAGCAATTCTTGCAATTGGAGGGGTGCATCTAAATGTTTGCATCAGATGAGCTGATTGCCAAGAAATAGTCCATTTGGAGATTCTGATGTGTAGAGATTAATAGAATGACAAAAGGTTTTGTTGGTATCGGAAGGGGTCGACAAAGTACCGTGGGTGCTTTGATAGGTGGAATCAGGCGAGATTCTGCATTGCGTTTTATCTGATGGGCTAACAGTTGACTGGCTTTGTCACCATACTCATAGAAAGAACCTTTGGATTGTAGCAGTAGTTTTTCAGCTTTGGATGATGTAGCCAATAGATCATTTTGTGCCTGAAGATATAGTCACTTTTTATATAGCTGAGTATCTGGGTTTATAGCATATTGGCGATCTAATTCCAAAATGGATGTGGTCAGATTGTCCATTAGAGATACTTGTGCTTTATTAAGAGTGGCGAAGTAGGAAATAATTTGGCATCTGAGAAAAGTCTTTACGGTTTCCCAAAGGAGAGAGTAAGAAACAGAGTCTGAAACGATTCAACAGATCTCAAAATGAAGGTACGGAACCTTTCATCAGAAAGAAGTAGGGAGTTAAGTCTCCAAAGTGGTCGGTCCTTATAACACAGTGAAAAGTTTATGTCCAAAAGTAAAGGTGTGTGGTCCGAAATGACACTAGCCAAGTATTTACATGAGTCAACTACTGGCATGAATGTTCTATCAATGAAAAAGTAATCTATACGGGAGGAAGTGTGGTGGACATTAGACAAAAAAAGGAGAACTCCTTGGCAAGAATTTTGTGATCTCCAGGGGTCAGTGCAACCATTCTGTTGCATAAACGTTGAGAAAGCTTTGGAAATCATTAACTGTGACTGGGTTCTAGGACGTGAGCAATCTAATTGTGGATCTATGACAGTGTGGGAGGGAGGATAAGAAACTATTAGCAAAGTTGACATTGTCCCAGTTGGGCGCGTAAACATTTGGCAACAATACGGGTGTTTCAAAGTGTACCGGTTACAATAATGTATCTTCCTTTTGGATCTGCTACGATGTCTGATGGAATGAAATGTAATGTATCTCCTTATGAATAAGAATTGCAACCCCTCCGGCCATGGTGTTGAAATCTACCCATGTGCTATGGTCTGTAATTCGCAGGTGGGTCTCTCACAAAAAAGCTATATCTTTCTGTAGATGTTTAAGATGTGAGAAAACGTTGGACCTCATGATTGGCCTGTTTAACCCAGGGGGAAATAGCGGGGGGAAAACTGCGGGAAATATCAGCCACATAACTTCCAGAAATCCACCCGTCTATCCTACCTTCTAACAAGGGTGGCTCCTGCATAAAAAGTGAATAATTGAGTATAAACAAAGTCTACAAAAATGTTCTTGAATAAAGCTTTGAGTATAACAAACATGTACCCATACATTTGTATATACAGTGCATTTGGAAAGTATTCAGACCTTGACTTTTTCCATGTTTTGTTACATTACAGCCTTATTCTAAAATGAGTTAAATTGTTTTTTTTCTCTCTCATCAATCTACACACAATACCCCATAATGACAAAGCAAAAACAAGTTCAGAATTTTTTGCAAATCTATAAAAAATAAAACAAATCAAAATATCACATTTACATAAGTATTCAGACCCTTTACTCAGTACTTTGTTGACGCACCTTTGGCAGCGATTACAGCCTAGACCCACCTGGAACGCACCCATCTCAAGCAGGTGAAAACTACCGCAAAAACAGAGGCAAATTGGTTTGAAAATAAGCCAGGCAACTAGCCAGGCAACTAGCCAGGCAACTAGCCAGGCAACGTCATGAAAACATTGGACATTTAATAAAAATAGAGTAAAAGAATGTACTACAGATACTGTCACAGTAAACCCTATGAGCTCAGTCAGCTGTGATATCGCTCGACGTTGTTGCTGCTGGCAAAGCAGTTATGTTAGCCAGCCATAACATTCGCACATAAAATAAATTGAGTTAGTCAGCATAAAGAGTATGTTGAATCAAGTTAGCTAGCAGCTATCTGCAGGAAAGTATTTAGCTAGCTAGTCAACTAGCCAGTTAGCATGTTAGTCAGACGGTCCACGTCGATTGGGTCCAAGCCAGTCAGCTAGCTAGCCTGCCGGCACAGCCAGTCCACTGCTAGCCAACTTTCGGTCAGCGAAGCCAGTTGTCAGTTACTCACTCCGGGACGAGGGTTTCCCCGAAGTGTTGGTTGTAGAACCTCTGTGCCTTGGTAGCAGCGTCAAAAAGAAGAGTCGCTCCCTCGAAGTCCACCTTCAGGAGCGCAGGGAATAGGAGGCCAAACTTCACCATCTTCTGGTAGAGAAGGGACTTCACAGGGTTGAATGTCGCTCGCTTCTTGTTGACAGTCGCACTATAGTCAGGGTAAGAAAAGACTACATGCCGCCCCCGGTAGTTGAGCTGGCCTCGCTCAGTCCTCATGATTCGATCTTTGTCTTGACCTTGGCTATGCGGTCAGGCCATTACGTACCTTGCCAATTCAATGTGCCCGGTCCAAAACTGGTGGTGAGAGGAAAACTTCTTGCCCCAGGACCTCAGTGAAAATTTCAGACATTATTTAACGACAAGTTCTTCAATATTTATGATCTGTAAATATTTGAACGGCGTGAAAAATTCGAGACTTGTCTATGGTGTCGGTGAGGAACTTGTTTTTGTTCTCCAGCAATGTGTACCTTTCCTCAAGGGCCATTTTTGAGTAAGAAGTTGCGTTAGACGTTAGAAGTCAATTCAACTAGTGGTGAAAAGTACAGAAGCTACCCTCACACGCAACCTCAAGTTACTCAAATGTTAACCCGGAAGCCTCCACATAAAACATTCTACTCTCGCATACCCGTTAGGACGTTAGTATGAATATTCGGACATGGCCAAAGACAAAGAATGAGATGGTTACCTCAGCCTGCCAGGCGAGAGTGGCAGCGTTGAGGGCAGGGATACGGCCCGTCCCCAGCACGGCAATGGTCTCCCCGTCGTCATCCACCACCTTGAAGTCCAGGTCCTCGTTGTACTTCCTGCGCTTCACCTGTCGCCCCGAGCGACGCTTCTACCAGCGAGAGAGGGAAAGAGAGTGAGTTTACACTAAGTGCCTTCATTTCAAGCATTAGCTACTGCACATAGATAACAGGGTTTAATTTAGCCGTAAATAGCCGGCTTTTGGCTATAAAAAATAATAATGAAAAAACGATGAATAAAATTGGCACCGGCCAATTTTCCAATAGAAAAAAAAAATTCCCATTGCGAAATAATGCTTTTTATCCTATTCATTGATGGAAATACCAGTTGATGGAAATACATATAGCTACTTAATTGTTTGAAACCTGAACGTGTTACAACATATGAGGCATGTTTTACCTTGTTTCAAATTAGCCTAGCCAAAATTCAACCATATACGTGGAGGAAATTATTTTATAAAGACTTCCATATGCCATTGAAACCAGTAACCGATTTTGCTCATTCTATTGGTTTTCAACTTTCATTCAACTTTCTTTCATTGTCCGGAAGCCAAATGCACATTCACAAATAGCCTACTGCCTTGTGCACATTGCTGTATGTTAAGAAATATCTTAAGCTAAACATACTGATCTGTTGAATCTGATTCATTGCTTTAAAAAAAATGTTGAACAAATAAACTCAGCAAAAAAAGAAACGTCCCTTTTTCAGGACCCTGTCTTTCAAATATATTTTGATTTTTACGAATTAACTTCACATATCTTCATAGTAAAGGGTTTAAACACTGTTTCCCATACTTGTTCAACAAACCATAAACAATTAATGAACATGCACCTGTGGAACAGTCGTTAAGATACTAACAGCTTACAGGGTAGGCAATTAAGGTCACAGTTATGAAAACTTAGGACACTAAAGAGGCCTTTCTACTGACTCTGAAAAACACCAAAAGAAAGATGCCCAGGGTCCCTGCTCATCTGCGTGAACGTGCCTTGGGAGGCATGAGGACTGCAGATGTGGCCAGGGCAAAAAATTGCAATGTCCGAACTGTGAGACGACTAAGACAGCGCTACAGGGAGACAGGACGGACAGCTGATCGTCCTCGCAGTGGAAGACCACGTGTAACAACACCTGCACAGGATTGGTACATCCGAACATCACACCTGCGGGACAGGTACAGGATGGCAACAACTGCCCGAGTTACACCAGGAACGCACAATCCCTCCATCAGTGCTCAGACTGTCAGCAATAGTCTGAGAGAGGCTGGACCCAGGGCTTGTAGGCCTGTTGTAAGGCAGGTCCTGACCAGACATCACCGACAACAACGTCACCTATGGGCACAAACCCACCGTCGCTGAACCAGACAGGACTGGCAAAAAGTGCTCTTTTGTCTCACCAGGGGTGATGGTCGGATTCGCGTTTATCGTCGAAGGAATGAGCATTACACCGAGGCCTGTACTCTGGAGCGGGATCGATTTGGAGGTGGAGAGTCCGTCATGGTCTGGGGCGGTGTGTCACAGCATCATCGGACTGAGCTTGTTGTCATTGCAGGCAATCTCAACGCTGTGCGTTACAGGGAAGACATCCTCCTCCCTCATGTGGTACCCTTCCTGCAGACTCATCCTGACATGACCCTCCAGCATGATAATGCTACCAGCCATACTGCTCGTTCTGTGCGTGATTTCCTGCAAGCCAGGAATGTCAGTGTTCTGCCATGGCCAGCGAAGAGCCCGGATCTCAATCCCATTGAGCACGTCTGGGACCTGCTGGATCGGAGGGTGAGGGCTAGGGCCATTCCCCCCAGAAATGACCGGGAACTTGCAGGTGCCTTAGTGGAAGAGTTGGGTAACATCTCACAGCAAGAAATGGCAAATCTGGTGCAGTCCATGAGGAGGAGATTCACTGCAGTACTTAATGCAGCTGGTGGCCACACCAGATACTGACTGTAATTTTGATTTTGACCCCCCCCCCCCCCCCCCCTTTGTTCAGGAACACATTCAATTTCTGTTAGTCACACGTCTGTGGAACTTGTTCAGTTTATGTCTCAGTTGTTCAATCTTAGGTTCATACAAATATTTACACATTAAGTTTGCTGAAAATAAACGCAGTTGACAGTGAGAGGATGTTTCTTTTTATGCTGAGTTTATGTAGCCTAAGCCTACTGGTTGTATGAACTACAATAGGTAAACATTTCTACTATGGGGGATAGTAGATTGACATAGGCTCATAGGCTGCGGGTCAATAACGCTAGGGGAAGTAAATTGAATTAAGCTGCCAAAATTATATAGCCCAATTAGCCTACGGTCTATCCAGAAATAAATAAAATGATTCCAAATAGGCTACTAAAGCAGGATTTGGCCACAGAGGATCATTAGCTTCCCCTAGCCTTAAAGTTGTGGACTGTTTTGAATCGCATTGCCTACAGTCGGAAGGAAAGGCAAGAGCGCGCAATTTGGACAGCGAGTGCTGCAAAAACCAAATAGATGACTGTTGAGTTGCGGCGGTCAGTGACAAGTAGAGGCCCAGCCAGGCATATCGCAATATTTCAAAATTAAATGGCGGGAAAACATAGTTTGGAAAGCAAATGGCTATTGCTGTAAAGACAAGACAATGAAAATAATCTTATTATCAAAATCCTCAACTTAATTGAGCCAACAACAGCAGGCCTATTGCCTATCTTATTAGCACCAGCGGAGAGCATCAGCCATTTCTCCACACTGCACATATTCCCTCCATCATGGTTGGGTCAGTGCCAGTTAAAAGTTTGTTTTTGGACAATACTTTTCTCCTCCAGTTTAGATGGACCTCATATTCTATTTGTGTCTCCCCATCTCTTAGGCCCATTATATGGACAACATCATTTTTATTGCTCTGTTTGTCAGTGTCAGCAGAGTAGGCTACCCTGTAATTTGTCGTTTAAAAAAAAAAAAAAGATTCTGCTAATGTCTCTAGTAGGGCTGACTCCATTTAGTACACTGGTCGATTGTTGCTGTTTGTTGCTGTTGGTCGACCGAGATTACATTAGACGAGCAGTAGCAAAAAATAAATAAAATAAATCATGGTGTACAAGACACCGGTCTGATTTGCGCATGTCTGAATGGACTGATCCATTGTGGAGGCTGTGGGGATGGCACAGTATATCAGTCTAAGACATGTGCTTCTGAAATTGTATATGGTTTATATTATGTAAGAACAATTAACACAAATACAAATATTTTATAACAAAATGTGCTTTCTCTGGCATTGGATAGTGGTCACTGTCCGCGGTTCTGAAACATATCAGTGCACTGTTGAACTGGCGCCTTTTCCTAGACCATGTTACTATGTGCATAATACCAAAGTTAAACAGCATATTGGTGTTGAGAACAATGCGACGGAGGCTGTAGCACAGTTAGGAGACAAGAAAACAGCCTTAATTGTCTAAGAAAAATGAGGAGAGACGAAACCAACTTAATTAGGTCTATAATCAATAGCCTAACTGTTAAATGTGCCTGGCTTTATGAATCATTCATTATGTATACAGTGGGGGAAAAAAGTATTTAGTCAGCCACCAATTGTGCAAGTTCTCCCACTTAAAAAGATGAGAGAAGCCTGTAATTTTCATCATAGGTACACGTCAATTATGACAGACAAAATGAGAAAAAAAAATCCAGAAAATCACATTGTAGGATTTTTAATGAATTTATTTGCAAATTATGGTGGAAAATAAATATTTGGTCAATAACAAAAGTTTCTCAATACTTTGTTATATACCCTTTGTTGGCAATGACACAGGTCAAACGTTTTCTGTAAGTCTTCACAAGGTTTTCACACACTGTTGCTGGTATTTTGGCCCATTCCTCCATGCAGATCTCCTCTAGAGCAGTGATGTTTTGAGGCTGTCGCTGGGCAACACGGACTTTCAACTCCCTCCAAAGATTTTCTATGGGGTTGAGATCTGGAGACTGGCTAGGCCACTCCAGGACCTTGAAATGCTTCTTACGAAGCCACTCCTTCGTTGCCCGGGCGGTGTGTTTGGGATCATTGTCATGCTGAAAGACCCAGCCACGTTTCATCTTCAATGCCCTTGCTGATGGAAGGAGGTTTTCACTAAAAATCTCACGATACATGGCCCAATTCATTCTTTTCTTTACACGGATCAGTCGTCCTGGTCCCTTTGCAGAAAAACAGCCCCAAAGCATGATGTTTCAACCCCCATGCTTCACAGTAGGTATGGTGTTCTTTGGATGCAACTCAGCATTCTTTGTCCTCCAAACACGACGATTTGAGTTTTTACCAAAAAGTTATATTTTGGTTTCATCTGACCATATGACATTCTCCCAATCCTCTTCTGGATCATCCAAATGCACTCTAGCAAACTTCAGACGGGCCTGGACATGTACTGGCTTAAGCAGGGGGACACGTCTTGCACTGCAGGATTTGAGTCCCTGGCGGCGTAGTGTGTTACTGATGGTAGGCTTTGTTACTTTGGTCCGAGCTCTCTGCAGGTCATTCACTAGGTCCCCCCGTGTGGTTCTGGGATTTTTGCTCACCGTTCTTGTGATCATTTTGACCCCACGGGGTGAGATCTTGCGTGGAGCCCCAGATCGAGGGAGATTATCAGTGGTCTTGTATGTCTTCCATTTCCTAATAATTGCTCCCACAGTTGATTTCTTCAAACCAAGCTGCTTACCTATTGCAGATTCAGTCTTCCCAGCCTGGTTCAGGTCTACAATTTTGTTTCTGGTGTCCTTTGACAGCTCTTTGGTCTTGGCCATAGTGGAGTTTGGAGTGTGACTGTTTGAGGTTGTGGACAGGTGTCATTTATACTGATAACAAGTTCAAACAGGTGCCATTAATACAGGTAATGAGTGGAGGATAGAGGAGCCTCTTAAAGAAGAAGTTACAGGTCTGTGAGAGCCAGAAATCTTGCTTGTTTGTAGGTGACCAAATACTTATTTTCCACCATAATTTGCAAATAAATTCATAAAAAATCCTACAATGTGATTTTCTGGATTTTTTTTTCTCAAATTGTCTGTCATAGTTGACGTGTACCTATGATGAAAATTACAGGCTATCTTTTAAGTGGGAGAACTTGCACAATTGGTGGCTGACTAAATACTTTTTTCCCCCACTGTATGTATGTATGTATGTATGTATGTATGTATGTATGTATGTATGTATGTATGTATGTATGTATGTATGTATGTATGTATGTATGTATGTATGTATGTATGTATGTATGTATATACATACATATATATACACACACACATGCACACACACAGTGGGGAGAAAAACTATTTGATACACTGCCGATTTTGCAGGTTTTCCTACTTACAAAGCATGTAGAGGTCTGTAATTTTTATCATAGGTACACTTCAACTGTGAGAGACAGAATGTAAAACAAAAATCGAGAAAATCACATTGTATGATTTTTAAGTAATTAATTAGCATTTTATTGCATGACATAAGTATTTGATCACCTACCAACCAGTAAGAATTATGGCTCTCACAGACCTGTTAGTTTTTCTTTAAGAAGCCCTCCTGTTCTCCACTCATTACCTGTATTAACTGCACCTGTTTGAACTCGTTACCTGTATTTAAGACCCTGTCCACACACTCAATCAAACAGACTCCAACCTCTCCACAATGGCCAAGACCAGAGAGCTATGTAAGGACATCAGGGATAAAATTGTAGACCTGCACAAGGCTGGGATGGGCTACAGGACAATAGGCAAGCAGCTTGGTGAGAAGGCAACAACTGTTGGTGCAATTATTAGAAAATGGAAGAAGTTCAAGATGACAGTCAATCACACTCGGTCTGTGGCTCTCACCCCGGTATGCAAGATCTCACCCCGTGGGGCATCAATGATCATGAGGAAGGTGAGGGATCAGCCCAGAACTACAAGGCAGGACCTGGTCAATGACCTGAAGAGAGCTGGGACCACAGTCTCAAAGAAAACCATTAGTAACACACTACGCCGTCATGGATTAAAATCCTGCAGCGAACGCAAGGTCCCCCTGCTCAAGCCAGCGCATGTCCAGGCCCGGCTGAAGTTTGCCAATGACCATCTGGATGATCCAGAGAAGGAATGGGAGAGGTCATGTGCTCTCATGAGACAAAAATAGAGCATTTGGTCTAAACTCCACTCGCCGTGTTTGGAGGAAGAAGAAGGATGAGTACAACCCCAAGAACACCATCCCAACCGTGAAGCATGGAGGTGGAAACATTATTCTTTGGGGATTCTTTTCTGCAAAGGGGACAGGACGACTGCACCGTATTGAGGGGAGGATGGATGGAGCCATGTATCGCGAGATCTTGGCCAACAACCTTCTTCCCTCAGTAAGAGCATTGAAGATCGTGGCAACTAAGGGCAACTAAGGAGTGGCTCCGTAAGAAGCATCTCAAGGTCCTGGAGTGGCCTAGCCAGTCTCCAAACCTGAACACAATAGAAAATCTTTGGAGGGAGCTGAAAGTCCGTATTGCCCAGCGTCAGCCCCGAAACCTGAAGGATCTGGAGAAGGTCTGTATGGAGGAGTATGGCCAAAATCCCTGCTGCAGTGTGTGCAAACCTGGTCAAGACCTAAAGGAAACGTATGATTTCTGTAATTGCAAAAAAAAGGTTTCTGTACCAAATATTAAGTTCTGCTTTTCTGATGTATCAAATACTTATGTCATGCAATAAAATGCAAATTAATTACTTAAAAATCATACAATGTGATTTTCTGGATTTTTGTTTTAGATTCCGTCTCTCACAGTTGAAGTGTACCTATGATAAAAATTACAGACCTCTACATGCTTTGTAAGTAGGAAAACCTGCTAAATCGGCAGCGTATCAAATACTTGTTCTCCCCACTGTATATATCATACACACACAGTTGAAGTCGGAAGTTTACATCCACTTAGGTTGGAGTCATTAAAATCTCGTTTTTCAACCACCACAAATGTCTTGTTAAAAATCTGTAGCTGAATTGGTAGAGCATGGCACTTGTAACGGCAGGGTAATGGGTTCCATCCCCGGGACCACCCATACGTAAAAATGTATGCACACATGACTAAGTCGCTTTGGATAAAAGCGTCTGCTAAATCGCATATTATATACACTGCTCAAAAAAATTAAGGGAACACTAAAATAACACATCCTAGATCTGAATGAATGAAATAACCTTATTAAAAACTTTTTTCTATACATAGTTGAATGTGCTGACAACAAAATCACACAAAAATCCAGGCTTTGTCGCAGCCGGCCGCGACCGGGAGACTCATGGGCGGCACACAATTGGCCCAGCGTCGTCCAGGGTAGGGGAGGGAATGGCCGGCAGGGATGTAGCTCAGTTGATAGAGCATGGCGTTTGCAACGCCAGGGTTGTGGGTTCAATTCCCACGGGGGGCCAGTATAAAAAAAATATGGATTCACTAACTGTAAGTCGCTCTGGATAAGAGCGTCTGCTAAATGACTAAAATGTAAAATGTAAATGTAAATGTAAAAATTATCAATGGAAATCAAATATCAACCCATGGAGGTCTGGATTTGGAGTCACCCTCAAAATTAAAGTGTAAAACCACACTACATGCTGATCCAACTTTGATGTAATGTCCTTAAAACAAGTCAAAATGAGGCTCAGTAGTGTGTGTGGCCTCCACGTGCCTGTATGACCTCCCTACAACGCCTGGGCATGCTCCTGATGAGGTGGCGGATGGTCTCCTTAGGGATCTCCTCCCAGACCTGGACTAAAGCATCCGCCAAATCCTGGACAGTCTGTGGTGCAACGTGGCGTTGGTGGATGGAGCGAGACATGATGTCCCAGATGTGCTCAATTGTATTCAGGTCTGGGGAACGGGAGGGCCAGTCCATAGCGTCAATGCCTTCCTCTTGCAGGAACTGCTGACACACTCCAGCCACATGAGGTCTAGCAATGTCTTGCATTAGGAGGAACCCAGGGCCAACCACACCAGCATATGGTCTCAAGGGGTCTGAGGATCTCATCTCGGTACCTAATGGCAGACAAGCTACTTCTGGCGAGCACATGGAGGGCTGTGCGGCCCCCCAAAGAAATGCCACCCCACACCATGACTGACCCACCGCCAAACCGGTCATGCTGGAGGATGTTGCAAGCAACAGAACGTTCTCCACGGCGTCTCCAGACTCTGTCACATCTGTCACATGCTCAGTGTGAACCTGCTTTCATCTGTGAAGAGCACAGGGCGCCAGTGGCGAATTTGCCAATCTTGGTGTTCTCTGGCAAATGCCAAACGTCCTGCACGGTGTTGGGCTGTAAGCACAACCCCCACCTGTGGACGTCGGGCCCTCATACCACCCTCATGGAGTCTGTTTCTGACCGTTTGAGCAGACACATTCACATTTGTGGCCTGCTGGAGGTCATTTTGCAGGGCTCTGGCAGTGCTCCTCCTGCTCCTCCTTGCACAAAGGCGGAGGTAGCAGTCCTGCTGCTGGGTTGTTGCCCTCCTACGGCCTCCTCCACGTCTCCTGATGTACTGGCCTGTCTCCTGGTAGCGCCTCCATGCTCTGGACACTACGCTGACAGACACAGCAAACCTTCTTGCCACAGCTCGCATTGATGTGCCATCCTGGATGAGCTGCACTACCTGAGCCACTTGTGTGGGTTGTAGACTCCGTCTCAAGCTACCACTAGAGTGAAAGCACCGCCAGCATTCAAAAGTGACCAAAACATCAGCCAGGAAGCATAGGAACTGAGAAGTGGTCTGTGGTCACCACCTGCAAAACCAGTCCGTTATTGGGGGGTGTCTTGCTAATTGCCTATCATTTCCACCTGTTGTCTATTCCATTTGCACAACAGCATGTGAAATTTATTGTCAATCAGTGTTGCTTCCTAAGAGGACAGTTGGATTTCACAGAAGTGTGATTGACTTGGAGTTACATTGTGTTGTTTAAGTGTTCCCTTTATTTTTTTGAGCAGTGTATATTATAACAAACTATAGTTTTTGCAAGTCGGTTAGGACATCTACTTTGTGCATGACACAAGTAATTTTTCCAACAATTGTTTACAGACAGATTATTTCACTTATAATTCACTGTATCACAATTCCAGTGGGTCAGACGTTTACATACACTAAGTTGACTGTGCCTTTAAACAGCTTCAAAAATTCCAGAAAAGGATTTCATGGCTTTAGAAGCTCCTGATAGGCTAATTGACATCATTTGAGTCAATTGGATGTGTACATGTGGATGTATTTCAAGAACTACCTTCAAACTCAATGCCTCTTTGCTTGACATCATGGGAAAATCAAAAGAAATCAGCCAAGACATCAGAAAAATAATTGTAGACCTCCACAAGTCTGGTTCATCCTTGGGAGCAATTTCCAATCGCCTGAAGGTAACACATTCATCTGTACAAACAATAGTATGCAAGTATAAACAACATGTGACCACGCAGCCATCATAACACTCAGGAAGGAGACGTGTTCGGTCTCCTAGAGATGAACGTACTTTGGTGCGAAAAGTGCAAATCAATCCCAGAACAACAGCAAAGGATCTTGTGAAGATGCTGGAGGAAACAGGTACATAATTATCTATATCCACAGTAAAACGAGTCCTATATCAACATAACCTGAAAGGCCGCTCAGCAAGGAAGAAGCCACTGCTCCAAAACCGCCATAAAAAAGCAAGACTACAGTTTGCAACTGCACATGTGGACAAAGATCGTACTTTTTGAAGAAATGTCCTCTGGTCTGATGAAACAAAAACAGAACTGTTTGGCCATGATGACCATCGTTATGTTTGGAGGAAAAAGGGGGTCGCTTGCAAGCCGAAGAACACCATCCCAACCGTGAAGCACGGGGGTGGCAGCATCATGCTGTGGGGGTGCTTTGCTGCAGGAGGGTCTGGTGCACTTCACAAAATAGATGGCATCATGAGGAAGGAAAATAATCTGGATATATTGAAGCAACATCTCAAGACATCAGTCAGGAAGTTAAAGCTTGGTCGCAAATGGGTCTTCCAAATGGACAATGACCTCAAGCAAACTTCCAAAGTTGTGGCAAAATGGCTTAAGGACAACAAAGTCAAGGTATTGGAGTGGTAATCACAAAGCCCTGACCTCAATCCTATAGAAAATGTGTGGGCAGAACTGAAAAAGCTTGTGCGAGCAAGGAGGCCTCAAACCTGACTCAGTTACACCAGCTCTGTCAGGAGGAATGGGCCAAAATTCACCCAACTTATTGTGGGAAGCTTGTGGAAGGCTACCGGAAACGTTTGACCCAAGTTAAACAATTTAAAGGCAATGATACCAAATACTAATTGAGTGTATGTAAACTTATGACCCACTGGGAATGTGATGAAATAAATAAAAGCTGAAATAAATCATTCTCTCTACAATTATTCTGACATTTCACATTAAAATAAAGTGGTAAACCTAACTGACCTAAGACATGGAATTTTTACAAGGATTAAAATGTCAGGAATTTTGAAAAACTGAGTTTAAATGTATTTGGCTAAGGTGTATGTAAACTTCGACTTCAACTGTATATAGAAATAAGACAGATCCTGCTTCGGTTGCCTGTTTGAGTGTTTGTTTAATAGCCTACTGATTCCATCAGCAACAAGCCTCAAACAACTTCACAAATGTGGCTGTTTTTAAATCTTTGCAATGCTGTAATAAAGGCTTTACACTTTTTTTCATTAGACCAGCCCCTCTGGTATTATTTATAATTAAGTTAGTGTTGTTTACACTGTTCCAAATTGCCAAAATATTTATATTTTTACAATAATAACCATCCTTTTTCCTTGATCTCATTATTAATCATCATCATCATCATCATCATCATCATCATCATCATAATAAAAAGTGATGTCATTATCATTAGTAGGCTTAGTATAGCAGCCTTGTACAAACACCATCGAGTTGTAGGCCTAAGAGCGCATCCTGTTTAGGTCTTAATACCATAACTTACTTACAGTGGCTTGCGAAAATATTCACCCCCCTTGGCATTTTTCCTATTTTGTTGCCTTACAACCTGGAATTAAAATGGATTTTTGGGGGGTTTTCATCATTTGATTTACACAACATGCCTACAACTTTGAAGATGCAACATCTTTTTTCTTGTGAAACAAACAAGAAATAAGACAAAAAAAACAATGGTTATGCACGCTCAAGTTTTCACCCCCCCCCCCAAAGTCAATACTTTGTAGAGCCACCTTTTGCAGCAATTACAGCTGCAAGTCTCTTAGGGTATGTCTCTATAAGCTTGGCACATCTAGCCAATGGGATTTTTGCCCATTCAAGGCAAAACTGCTCCAGCTCCTTCAAGTTGGATGGGTTCCGCTGGTGTACAGCAATCTTTAATTCATACCACAGATTCTCAATTGGATTGAGGTCTGGGCTTTGACTAGGCCATTCCAAGACATTTAAATGTTTCCCCTTAAACCACCCGAGTATTGCTTTAGCAGTATGCTTAGGGCCATTGTCCTGCTGGAAGGTGAACCTCCGTCTCAGTCTCAAATCTCTGGAAGACTGAAACCGGTTTCGCCTCAAGAATTTCCCTGTATTTAGCGTCATCCATCATTCCTTCAATTCTGACTAGTTTCCCAGTCCCTGCTGATAAAAAACATCTCCACAGCATGATGCTGCCACCACCATGCTTCGCTGTGGGGATGGTGTTCTCGGGGTGATGAGAAGTGTTGGGTTTGCGCCAGACATAGCGTTTTCCTTGATGGCCAAAAAAGCTCAATTTTTGTCTCATCTGATCAGAGTACCTTCTTCCATATGTCTGGGGAGTCTCCCACATGCCTTTTGGCGAAAACCAAACGTGTTTTGGTATTTTTTTCTTTAAGCAATGGCTTTTTTCTGGCCACTCTTCCGTAAAGCCTAGCTCTGTGGAGTGTATAGCTTAAAGTGGTATTATGGACAGATACTCACATTTCCGCTGTGGAGCTTTGCAGCTCCTTCAGGGTTATCTTTGGTCTCTTTGCTGCCTCTCTGATTAATGCCCTCCTTGCCTGGTCTGTGAGTTTTGGTGAGCGGCCCTCTCTTGGCAGGTTTGTTGTGGTGGCATATTCTTTCCATTTTTTAATAATGAATTTAATGGTGCTCCGTGGGATGTTCAAAGTTTCAGATATTTTTTTTATAACCCAACCCTGATCTATACCTCTCCACAACTTTGTCCCTGACCTGTTTAGAGAGCTCCTTGGTCTTCATGGTGCCGCTTGCTTGGTGGTGCCTCTTGCTTAGCAGTTTTGCAGACCATGGGGCCTTTCAGAACAGGTGTATATATATACACTGAGATCATGTGAAACAGATTGCACACAGGTGGACTTTATTTAACTAATTGTGTGACTTCTGAAGGTAATTGGTTGCACCAGATCTTATTTAGGGGCTTCATAGCAAAGGGGGTGAATACATATGCACGCACCACTTTTCCATTATTTATTTTTTAGAATGTTTTGAAACAAGTAATTTTTTTTCATTTCACTTCACCAATTTGGACTATTTTGTGTATGTCCATTACACGAAATCAAAATAATTACAGGTTGTAATGCAACAAAATAGGAAAAACGCCAAGGGGGATGAATACTTTTGCAAGGCACTGTAGGTCTATATTTCAATACTATACAGGCTACTGTATCAATCAACAATTTATTTGTTCATGTCTTCACACAGCATACGAGTCATTCATGATGGGAAATGCAATCAAGCATTTTAGTTTTAAAATAAAGTGACCATTGAATAATTAGCGTAAACAATAAATAGGCCTAAAACGTTCAATTTTGGAAATTGCATTCACAAATGTATGCGACTGTTTTTAGTCTTTGCTGTAATAAAGACTTTACAAAAACAACATTACAAGACTCTCTGGTAGGCTTATAATTTATTTCGTGTTTACAATAAATGTCTGACCATTTGGAACAGTCGAACAGCACACATAGGCCTAATATGCACAGAGCGTTGCTTGCTCCATACCTTATTTTTCTTGACCTCCAGTACTAGTCAAATTTATTCCACACATCTGACTTCCCCTTTACCTCCTGCACAACCAGTCAACATTCCCCCATTTCGAAGTTATTCGTCATGCCCTCTGCATCCATTTTTCTGTCACATGTTACGGTGTTTAGAGTTTGTCATAACCAATTTATTGATGTGATTATGATATGCTATAGGTTAGGCCCCATTGGTCACGTGCATGCAAAGCATACTTGTCACATAAAGAGAGCAAGGGTTGAGGGAACGTTTTCTTAAATTAGGGATTTCGGTAACATAACTTTTCAGTCAGCTTCAGCAACACGGACAGCGCTATACACACTGTTGATGTATGGTGGTCGCTGCAGCAGGGAGGAGAGAGGGAGACAACGGGTGCTAGTCACAGTCACTCACTGTCTTTGTTTTTTTGTAGCAAGTCTGCGCCAGGCGGCACAATCAAATCAATTGCGGTCGGACTTTGTGTGTCTTAATTATTTTAAACAGTTCGCTTAAAGCATCAGACAAGCTCAGTGCATATAGTTGATTTGATTAAAATGCATAGGATGTGTCTATATAATGGAAAAATAGGGCTGTCAACGACACAAAATAATAATAATCTTGGCCGACCAAGAGTCGTCTGGTCAGTGACAACCCTAGTCTCCAGTCATAAAGTACAGTGAGGGAAAAAGGTATTTGATCCCCTGCTGATTTTGTACGTTTGCCCACTGACAAAGACATGATCAGTGTATAATTTTAATGGTAGGTTAATTTGAACAGTGAGACAGAATAACAACAAACAAATCCAGAAAAACGCATGTCAAAAATGTTATAAATTGATTTGCATTTTAATGGAGGGAAATAAGTATTTGACCCCTCTGCAAAACATGACTTAGTACTTGGTGGCAAAACCCTTGTTGGCAATCACAGAGGTCAGATGTTTCTTGTAGTTGGCCACCAGGTTTGCACACATCTCAGGAGGGATTTTGTCCCACTCCTCAAAATCGGCAGTGTATCAAATACTTGTCCTCCCCACTGTATATATACAAATTTTACACACACACACACACACACACACACACACACACACACACACACACACACAGTACCAGTCAAAAGTTTGGACACCTAAGTTATTGTGAGTACAATTTAAATTTTTAAAAATGGCAATACTAACTCAAATACAATAAACAACATATAGGCAAAAAATATTTGTCAACAAACCATGGGCTGGGATGGCTAATACTTTGAAGTGGTAAGCTCTAGAGTCTAGACGATCCTATCTGCCAATCAGGGCTATGTATGTAAATATATAAAACATTTGTATCAACACACCCACAAGATCAGACTAAGCATTTCAATGGCAAAGAGGCTCAGGGAAATAAATGACAAAAATAGTTATTTTCATGAAATAAACAGTGATTTAAAAAAACTAAATATTTAAAAAAAGACTGCAAGGAGGCTTTAAGGGTGAGGTTTTAGAGAAGTAAGTGTCACTCAGCCGATCCTACTCTTGCCCCAACCTGTCAGTTTCTCACCGTGTTGTCGAGGGGATCGATGCTCTCCTCTCCGCCCATGGCCAGCGCGGACAGGAAGGCCACATTGTCAGTCTCCCCAGCCGTCTGGAGGACTGCCTCGCTTTTCCGCTTACCCTTTTTCTTCTTCTCCACTGGGACCGGCCCTTGGAGGACTTGCGCTCTGTAGAGACACAGCAGGGTTGGCACTATAGAAATTGAAGTCCACCAGGGAGTGACAACTGACCAGAGGGGTCACACGCCGGCAATGTGTGTTTATCGCCACCTCACATCTCGGCAGGTATAATAACAGAGAATACAAAAGCTAGATACAGTGCATTCGGAAACAATTCAGACCCCTTGACTTTTCCCACATTGTTACGTCACAGCCTTATTCTCAAATTGTATCAATTGTTTTATTCCCCCCCCCCCCTCACACAACACCCCATAATGACAAAGCAAAAACAGGTTGACATTTTGGCAAGTGTATTAAAAATAAACTTAAATATCACATTTACATAAGTATTCAGACCCTTTACTCAGTACTTTGTTGAAGCACCTTTGGCAGCGATTACAGCCTCGAGTCTTCATGGGAATGACGCTACATGCTTGGCACACCTGTTATTGGGGAGTTTCTCCCATTCTGTTCTGCAGATCCTCTCAAGCTCTGTCAGGTTGGATGGGGAGCGTCGCTGCACAACTATTTTCAGATCTCTCCAGAGATGTTGGAGCGGGTTCAAGTCCGGGCTCTGGCTGGGCCACTCAAGGACATTCAGAGACTTGTCTCTAAGTCACTCCTGCGTTGTCTTGGCTGTGTGATTAGAGTCGTTGTCCTGTTGGAAGGTGAACCTTCGCCCCAGTATGAGGTCCTGAGCGCTCTGGAGCAGGTTTTCATCAAGGATCTCTCTGTACTTTGCTCCGTTCATGCTGCCACCACCATACTTCAGCGTAGGGATGGTGCCAGGTTTCCTCCAGACTTGACATTTGGCATTCAGGCCAAAGAGTTCAATCTTGGTTTCATCAGACCAGAGAATCTTGTTTCTCATGGTCTGAGAGTCCTTTAGGTGCCTTTTGGCAAACTCCAAGTGGGATTTCATGTGCCTTTTACTGAGGACTGGCTTCCGTCTGTCCACTCTACCATGAAGGCCTGATTGGTGGAGTGCTGCAGAGATGTTTGTCCTTCTGGAAGGTTCTCCCATCTCCACAGAGGAACTCTGGAGCGCTGTCAGAGTGACCATTGGGTTCTTGGTCAAAGCCCTTCTCCCCCGATTTCTCAGTTTGGCCGGGCGGCCAGCTCTAGGAAGAGTCTTGGTGGTTCCAAACTTCTTCCATTTAAGAATGATGGAGGCCACTGTGTTAGTAAACTTCCCAAGATCTGTGCCTCGACACAATCTGGTCTTGGAGCTCTACGGATAATTCCTTAAACCTCATGGCTTGGTTTTTGCTCTGACATGCACTGTCAACTGTGGGACCTTATAAAGACAGGTGTGTGCCTTTCCAAATCATGTCCAATCAATTGAATTTACCAAAGGTGGACTCCAATCAAGTTTTAGAAACATCAAGGGTGATCAATGGAAACCGGATGCACCGGAGCGCAATTTCGAGTCACATAGCAACGGGTCTGAATACTTATGTATTATTAGCAAACATTTCTACAAACCTATTTTCACTTTGTCATTATGGGGTATTGCGTGTAAATTGATTGAAAAAAATAATTTAAATCAACTTTAGAATAAGGCTGTAACATAACAAAATGTGGAAAAAGTCAACGGGTCTGAATACTTTCCAAATGCACTGTAAGTAGGCAATGCTTTTTTCATGGCAATGTTAATTTTCAACAACAACAAAAATTTGAGTGCAGATGAGAGTACAGAGGTTTAAAAAGGTTCCCCACAGTTCTCATATCTCAAATCCACCTGTCCTGCAGAGCGATCAGAAAAATGCCTCCCACTCTGCTCCAGAAATGCCAAACCACAGAATTTTGCTAAATATTAGCACCGGACAAATATCATCAACCTACATCCCCTAACACAAAAGGTTCACGGACATGGTGCAACTTGGGAAATCTCAACTTTGGGGAAAAATCTAAACATTAACTAAAACCATACAAAGTTGATTTACTGTTTAACGGATTTCATTTTTTGAAAAGTAAGGCGAGTGAGCGAATATATATACTTTTTTTTTACCCCAACCTTAGTACAAAACCTTACCAAGAGATTTTAGAATGACAGTCACAGGGACCACAGTTTGAGTCCTGGTCAGGGTACACCCCTAATGAACTACATTGGTGTCAGGAGTTGGATAGCACCATTGAAAGCGTGTCCAAGCTGAGTTTTAGGCACAGTTAATTTTTTAGAGGCATATTCTGCCATTTTTTATAATAGATGTGCTAGGATTAAATATATAGTAGTCTAAAGTAATCAAAACCTATTCTGACTATAAACTGCTTCAGCTTCTATTTAGCTTGAATTCTACATTTAACCTTTTCACGTTCAAAATAGCTCTAACAGTCCCCCAAGTGTGATTTTTTTTTTTTTAAATGCGTGCAATGCCAAAATTGTATTGTTACGCAATAGGACAGTTAACCCGCGCTGCCCTAAAACCAAGGCATGCTACTTGCTAATTACCTACACTGTACAAAAATATAAAACGCAACATGTAAAGTGTTGGTCCCATGTTCCATGAGTTGAAATAAAAGATCCCAGAAATGTTCCATACGCACAAAATGCTTATTACGCTCAAATGTTTTGCACCAAATTTGTTTACATCCGTTAGTGAACATTTCTCCTTTGCCAATATAATCCATCCACCTGGTGTAGCATATCAAGAAGCTGATTAAACAGCATGATCATTACACAGGTGCCCCTTGTGCTGGGGACAATAAAAGGCCACTAAAATGTGCAGTTTTGTCACAACACCACAGATGTCTCAAGTTGAGGGAGTGTGCAATTGGCATGCTGACTGCATGAATGTCCACCAGAGCTGTTGTCAGAGAATTGAATATTCATTTCTCTACCATAAGCCGCCGCCAACTTTGTTTTAGAGAATTTGGCAGTATGTCCAACCGGCCTCACAACCGCAGACCACGTGTAACCACACTAGCCCAGGACCTTCACATCCAGCTTCTTCACCTGTGGGATCGTCTGACACCAGCCACCCGTACAGCTGATGAAACTGTGGTTTTGCACAACCGAAGAATTACTGCACAAACTGTCAGAAACCGTCTCAGGGAAGCTCATCTGCATGCTCGTCATCCTCACCAGGGTCTTGACCTAACTGCAGTTCAGCGTCGTAGTCGGCTTCAGTTGGCAAATGCTCACCTTCGGATGGTCACTGGCACACTGGAGAAGTGTGCTCCTCACAGATTAATCCAGGTTTCAACTGTACCAGGCAGATGGCAGACAGCGTGTATGGCATCGTGTGGGCAAGCGGTTTGCTGATGTCCACATTGTGAACAGAGCGCCCCTTGGTGGTGGTGGTGGGGTTATGGTATGGGCAGGCATAAGCTACGGACAACGAACACAATTGCATTTTAATCGATGGCAATTTAAAATGCACTGAGATACCGTGACGAAATCCTGAGGCCAATTGTCGTGCCATTTATTTGCCCCGTCACGTTTCAGCATGATCATGCACGGCACCATGTGACAAGGATCTGTACACAATTCCTGGAAGCTGAAAATGTGCCAGTTCTTCCATGGCCTGCATACTCACCAGACAGGTCACCCATAGAGCATGTTTGAGATGCTCTGGATCGATGTGTACGACAGCATTTTCTTAGTTCCCGCCAATATCCAGCTTCTTCGCACAGCCATTGAAGAGGAGTGGGACAACATTCCACAGGCCACAATCAACCTGATCAACTCTATGCGAAGGAGAGGTGTCCACTGCATGAGGCAAAATAGTGGTCACACTAGATACTGACTAGTTTTCTGACCCACGCCCCTACCTTAAGGTATCTGTGACCAACAGATGCCTATCTATATTCCAGTGTAGGCTGCCGAGGGGAGGACGGCTCAAAATAATGTCTGGAACGGAGCAAATGGAATGGCATCAAACACATGGAAACCATGTTGATGTATTTGATACCATTTCAGGTATTCCGCTCCATGCATTACCACGAGCCCGTCCTCCCCAATGACGGTGCCACCAACCTCCTGTGCTGTATTCCCAGTCATGTGAAATCCATAGATTAGGGCCTAATGAATTTATAAAAAAATTTACTGATTTCCTTATAAACCGTAACTCAGTAAAATCTTTGAAACTGTTGCATGTTTCATTTATATTTTTGTTCCGTGTATGTTTTAACTTGTCAATTTCAAATTATGTTCAAATCAACAGTTTTATTTTCAAACAGTTTGAAATGAGGTGCGCTTCGCCTCCTCATTAATTCACATAGAAGTAGCCCATTTCATGGTGGCGGACAATTTACGTTTCAGGCATGCTATGCTAATGTAAGGTAAGGTAAGGATTAGCCAGATGAGCTGGACAAACTCCCCCAGTGTTTCCCCAGGTCAAGTATGCAGACATTTGTGCCTCTCCTGTCACAACAGAACCTGCCCGAACTTTTTCCCCCTGGCGCATTTTCCCGCTGGCGCCCGCATTGCCTTCATTGTTGTTTTCCTTACTAATAATACCTTTGGAAATGTGTGCATTCCTATCAAAGTACCGGTAAGTACCTTATTACCTTATCATAATACAGTTTCTGTATATCGTGTTGTTTCAACAGTAGCACACAGTATGGAGCATAATGTATTCTGTGTATACCATTATAAGCGCTGACACAAGAGGAACTATTATGTCATAACTGTAACTAGACATCTTTCTTGCCGAAGATTGAGGCCAGCTTTTGAATGCTAGCAACATACTGTTTGAACTTGCACTCCCTTACAGGAAAGAACAGCAAGAAAAGACAATGACAGTGGTCATTTAATTATAAGTATGCATAACCCATATTACAATAGCCATGTAGTGGTTGAACAAAAACTGCATTCCCATCCCCCACCCCTAAATCATAGTATGCTGGCAGGTAACCTGTATGTATGCTGCAGATGTGCTAAATCGTGCTTGAGTGTATGGTACTCCCCAAAGCATGGTGTAACACAGGGATGTTTCACAATGCACACGCATGTACCTTGTCAACCTCCTCTGCTTCCTTCTCCTGGTGCTGGACAGGCAGATTTTACAGTGCCTCAGTGTGCGACTGCCTTGAGCAGCAGTTCTATGGACTTTGGAGGGAAAATGCCATGCATGGGATTACCTGCAGCACGACAGCCCCCAGTGGATAACAAGAACATTAGCATTTCGCTACACCCACGATAACATCTGCAAAATAAACTCAGCAAAAAAAGAAACGTCCCTCTTTCAGGACCCTGTCTTTCAAAGATCATTCGTAAAAATCCAAATAACTTCACAGATCTTCATTGTAAAGTGTTTAACCAATGTTTCCCATGCTTGTTCAATGAACCATAAACAATTCATGAACATGCACCTGTGGAACGGTCGTTAAGACACTAACAGCTTACAGACGGTAGGCAATTAAGGTCACAGTTATGAAAACTTAGGAGACTAAAGAAGCCTTTCTAATGACTCTGAAAACCACCTAATGAAATATGCCCAGGGTCCGTGCTCATCTGCGTGAACGTGCCTTAGGCATGCTGCAAGGAGGCATGAAGACTGCAGATGTGGCCAGGGCAATAAATTGCAAAGTCCGTACTGTGAGCACCTAAGACAGCACTACAGGGAGACAGGACGGAGAGCCAATCGTCCTCGCAGTGGCAGACCATGTGTAACAACACCTGCACAGGATCGGTACATCCAAACATCACACCTGCGGGACAGGTACAGGATGGCAACAACAACTGCCCGACTTACACCAGGAACGCACAATCCCTCCATCAGTGCTCAGACTGTCCGCAATAGTCTGAGAGAGGCTGGACTGAGGGCTTGTAGGCCGGTTGTAAGGCAGGTCCTGACCAGACATCACCGACAACAACGTTGCCTATGGGCACAAACCCACCGTCGCTGGACCAGACAGGACTGGCAAAAAAGTGCTCTTCACTGACGAGTCGCGGTTTTGTCTCACCGGGGGTGATGGTTGGATTCGCATTTATCGTTGAAGGAATGAGTGTTACACTGAGGCCTGTACTCTGGAGCGGGATCGATTTGGAGGTGGAGGCTCCGTCATGGTCTGGGGCGGTGTGTCACAGCATCATCGGACTGAGCTTGTTGTCATTGCAGGCAATCTCAACGCTGTGCGTTACAGGGAAGACATCCTCCTCCCTCATGTGGTACCCTTCCTGCAGGCTCATCCTGACATGACCCTCCAACATGACAATGCTACCAGCCATACTGCTCGTTCTGTGCTTGATTTCCTGCAAGACAGGAATGTCAGTGTTCTGCCATGGCCAGCGAAGAGCCCGGATCGCAATCCCATTGAGCACATCTGGGACCTATTGGATCAGACGGTGAGGGCTAGGGCCATTCCCCCCAGAAATGTCCGGGAACTTGCAGGTGCCTTGGTGGAAGTGGGGTAACATCTCACAGCAAGAACTGGCAAATCTGGTGCAGTCCATGAGGAGGAGATGCACTGCAGTTCTTAATGCAGCTGGTGGCCACACCAGATACTGACTGTTACTTTTGATTTTGATCCCCACTTTGTTCAGGGACACATTATTCAATTTCTGTTAGTCACATGTCTGTGGAACTTGTTCAGGTTATGTCTCAGTTGTTGAATCTTGTTATGTTCATACAAATATTTACACGTTACGTTTGCTGAAAATAAACGCAGTTGACAGTGAGAGGACGTTTCTTTTTATGCTGAGTTTATGTGTACGCGCCCAATGAAATTTGATTTGGATGGATGCCGAGGGGTGTGGTGCTCTTCCAGCAGCTCTCTAACAAGGTTATCCCTGTACTTTTGATAGGTAATCACCTAACCTATGGAGGAGGGAGAGGATGAGGGGAGAGGATGATGAGGGAGTGGGGAGGAGGGTGAGATAGTCAAAATAATAGCAAAATGGAACTGTATGTGATTTGTATGTCCAATTACAAAATAACCTTGTTCATTAATCATCTCACTTGTTAGCTGGCAGTGAACTGTGGCCATTGAGGACAGCAGGGTCGATCAGATGGAAAAATATATTCTTATACCATTTGGTTTTCTGAACGCATGCCACAAAGTTGTTTATCATGTCCGTCTTATCCACTGCCCCCATTTTGTGATTATAGTCAAGCACACACCTTCCCTGTGGCCCCCTCTTCTCCTGCAGCTCCAAGGCATAGCGATTGGTCTCCTCCACTATGTCTCCCACCTGCGCCTCTGTCAAAAACAGCATGAAGCACTCTGCCTCAAAGGGAGATGGCAATGGCCTTTGCACTCCAGACTGGGACTCAGACAACAGCAGGGCCAGGAGGGGTGAAATGAACTCTTGTTCTTCACCCAGTGTTGGTCTGTCTCCATCACCATCTTCAGAGGGACCTGGGACTGTCTGTGGGCAAGCGGTCCTCAGATTTAGGGTTCTCAATGGCCACAAGGTTGGGGGGCAGCTCCTCACTGTCAGAATCTGATTCCTCACTTTCCTACTCAGAATTTACCTACATCTCCAGAATTTCCACATTTGAGAAAGACATTGCTAATGCTACAGCTTAGCCCACTAGCTACACACAAACAACAACACTCAATGGCGCCGAGTGAGTGTCAGGGGTGATGTGATAGGCTGCCGGTGTGGTGATACTGATGATTTGTCGCCACAGGTGGTTTGTTTACATAGCAGGTTAGGAGAACTAGCGCGGTAGGTTAGGAGAACGAGGTTAAGGTTAGGAAAAGGGTTAGCTACGGTTGTCAACAACTGTTGTCCCCGACGCGACCACTAGATAAGTGCTGCAACGGTACAAACGTAAACAAACCATCTGTGGCGACAAATCATCAGTATCATAACACAGGCACGGGCCACTTGTATCAACAAATCACCATCAGAAAATGGTTTGCGTGGTAATAATTTCCCTATTTACTGTTTTATTCACATTTTTCAAGTACTGGTGACAAATCATGCAATCCAATTCTTGCATAGTGTGTAATCGACACCTATGATGTGTGTAAAATACTTTTTTGAAGGTTGTACTTACTATGATGAGCTAATGCTAAGCTAATTACCGGCTATGAGTGGAACCATGTTTGTTGACATCATTCAATACATTATGGGTGTCACGCAAACGTCTGTCAGACAAAAGATGTAATAAAACGAGGTGAAGAGATCATAGCCGCGGGAAGTAGGGGTGCTGTAGCACCCCCTAAAAAATCTGAATTTAAACAAATATATATTTTGAAAATATATTTATTTTTTCTTTCACAAAAGTAGTGCACTGGGCCTTTACTAGTATTAGCAGACGATTTAGACTTCTGTAGCGCAAGGAAAACATTTTTATCAGCATCTCCACTTTGGCAAAAAAGGTAGCTGTATAATTAAGAACAGTATCTCACAGGATTCATTAGTTGGAATTGTAAGAGTTGTTGCCCTGTCCCTTTCTCTGCTATATTTACATAAAACATTTGCAAAAAGTTACTGGCAAAGACACAAAACATCCACATTAAATATTTTTCTTTATCAAATAACCACTTTGTGCAGTATTAATTTACCTTCCTTACAAACCACTTAATGTACATGTACATTACTGTATTGTACATAGGCTGTCATCTAGGTTTGTACATGTAGACTTTCCACCACCATGAAGAAAAACAATGCAAAATACAGTAATTGAGTACATTGAGGCATCAAGTGGTTTGTGATGTCACTCAGTTTGTAGAGCATGGCGCTTGCAATGCTAGGGTTGTGGGTTTGATTCCAATGGGGGTCCAGTACGAAAAAGTATGAAAATGTATGCACTCACTACTGTAAGTTGCTCTGGATAAGAGCATCTACTAAAATGGAAAAGGAATGAGATTTCACAGAAATAACTCTTATCTTTGGTTGACACGGTTAAAACAAACATGGCGGGGCGCACAAACTCTACCCACTGTCGAATTACTTTCAACTTTAAAAAAGTGTTTCTCAATTATTTCGATCACTGGTGAGCTTACCCATGATAAATTGTAAATAAACTGAACAAAAATATAAAACGCAACACGTAAAGTGTTGGTTCCATGTTTCATGAGCTGAAATAAAAAGATCCCTGAAATTTTTATAGGCACAAAAAACATTATTTTTCTCAAATTTTGTGCACAAATTTCTTTACATCCCTGTTAGTGAGCATTTCTCCTTTGCCAAGATAATCCATCCACCTGACAGGCGTGGCATATCAAGAAGCTGATTAAACAGCATGATCATTACACAGGTGCACCTTGTGCTGGGGACAATAAAAGGCCACTAAAATGTGTAGTTTTGTAACACAACACAATGCCACAGATGTCTCAAGTTGAGGGAGCGTGCAATTGGCATGCTGGCTGCACGAATGTCTACCAGAGCTGTTGCCAGAGAATTTAATGTTCATAAGCCACCTCCAACGTCATTTTAGAAAATGTGGCAGTACGTGCAACCGGCCTCAGAACCACGTGTAACCACGCCAGCCCAGGACCTCCACACCCGGCTTCTTCACCTGCGGGATCATAGGAGACCAGCCACCCGTACAGCTGATGAAACTGAGGAGTATTTCTGTCTGAAATAAAGCCCTTTCGTGGGGAAAAATTCAGTCTGATTGGCTGGGCCTGGCTCTCCAGTGTGTGTGCCTGGCTCCCAAGTGGCTGGTCCTATGCCCTCCCAGGCCCACCCATGGCTGCGCACCTGCCCAGTCATGTGAAATCTATAGATTAGGGCCTAATGAATATATTTCAATTGACTGATTTCCTTGAATATGAACTGCCACTCAGTAAAATAGTTGCATGTTGTGTTTATACTTAGTATAGTAATTGCTATTATCCAATTCATATTATTTACATTTTAGTAATTTAGCAGACGCTCTTATCCAGAGCGACTTGCAGTTAGTGAGTGCATACAATTTTTCATTCTGGTCCCCCGTGGGAAACGAACCCACAACCCTGGCGTTGCAAGCGCCATGCTCTACCAACTGAGCTACACGGGACTATATTATGGTTTCTGTCAGCCGACAGCTAGCTAAATATGACCGCTTGTGTTAGCGCAGTCTTTCCTCAGTTAGCACAAGGACTAACGTAGCCTACAGTTTCGATTTGGATGACAACAGCGTTATGCTGTTGATACTTCTGTGAAAGTCTGAACATCTGCATCCAAAAATAAACTGCTTACATTGAGGACAAAAGTTGTAAAGACTGTTCGTAAAAATATTTTTCAAACGCTGACTATTGCGGCGATCATAACTAGACGTTCTAATCAGACCGGTTTGCGCATACGCTGTAGCGAACACTGTAAAATGATCACACCTGTGTGCTCGTACGCATCAGTGTTAACACATCTCCCACTACAATAGATGGGTTAGCTGACAACGTCACGAAAACGATGTGCACGCTTCAATGGGGTAGAAGTACGAGAGTTGTGATTCTGGATGGCCAGATAGTTACCAACAACGGCAAGAAACTGCCATGTGGGGAATCGTAAATGACTTGTTTCAGCTAGTTTCATCTTGTTCTTGATACCATGTCTTGTTTTGAGGTGTTTTGGCTGATTTCACCAATTTGTAAGTCGCTCTGGATAAGAGCGTCTGCTAAATGATGTAAATGTAAAATTTCATGTCAATGCTAATATGGCTAAAGTTTGCTAGCTAGTTAACCAACAACTAACAATGTATTTGAGAGACAAGTGCTCATTGTGCAAAATGTATTTATGTTTTTAATAAATATTGGCGATTAAACATAGCTTACATATTAACAATCTAAGCCAACAGTCTGTTTTGTAGGTAAAGAACCTATACAAATCTTTTCAGACAGATTAAGCAAGCACACACATTTTCTTCAGGAAAATGTGCCTTTCCTAGTTTAGTCATATGGAGTTGCAATGTCTCACAAATTGAATACCCAAATCAACTTGAAGTATCTACAAAACAAGTTTTGCAGCCACATAATCCAAAAGGCAAGAGAAAAAAGAAAAAAAACGTTAAATTCCTGTTTACAATTCACAAATGATTCACCATGATTGAACCAAATCCCAACTACTACAATGGCGAAGTAAATCGGTCATTTCGTCAAAAAGAATAGTTTCATAAGAATCGTTTATTTTTTTTATTTTTATTAGAAAGTAAGCAGGGGATCTGTTAAACAGTAAATCAACTTTGTTAGGCCTAAGGAGAAGAGTTAAAGCAGAGTAACAACAGTAGTTCTGACTTGAGTTGTAACCCACCTAAATTAATTTAATGGTATTATGCCCCACTAGACAAACACAACCATGTCTTGAACTAAATACAACCAAGTTTTTAACCGCTAACCACCCAAGAGAACCTGGTTGCGACCCACCATTCAAGAAACAGAGTGAACGCACTAGTGATTAAAAGCCCCTCACCTGGGTTTGCAGCCCCTCTGTCTGGGAGGAGAGGGGGCGCTCTTGCATTCTGCAGGGGGATGGAGCAGGGCCTGCACCTTGGGTTTTCGCCCTCTCTTCACCTCTTTTGGTGCCTTCACCTTGACCTCCTTCACCTTCCTGGGCTCCTTGGAATTGCACAGTAGCAGCTCCTTCCCTGCTTTCTGCTCCCTCTTTTTCTTTGGTTTCATGTCCCTCTCCAAGCCCTTGTGCTGCCAGGCACCGCCAGGCTCGCCCCGCTTGTCTTTTTTCTTTCGTTTCTTCTTCTTCGCCCACCGCCCGCCCCCTCCATCATCCTCCTCGCTGTTGAGGGGTGACGAGGGGGCGCAGGGGCTGAGGCTGGCAGTGCTGGTGCCCACCTCGCCCATCCTGGGGTGCTTGGCGTGGGCCATGCAGTGATTGGTCTGACCACCACCAAGGACCCTGATCTGGTCCTTAGAGCCCAGGGGTCCCCTGGGAAATGGAGTTTGTGCATTTTGGGCAGTTGCAGTAGAGGCTGCTGTAGCTGAAGTGTGCTTTAGTAAGTGGGTGGTGGACATCTGGAAAAGAACAAGAGTGGTGTGTTAATTAAAGTGAGACAGTTTCCACAGGGGTGTAAGATTTGTGTTAACTCAATGAAGATACTGAAAGATAAAGGGATAGAAAGAAGAAAAAAATGGGGGTCATGCCTCTATCTTGCAGTCATAATGAGAGTGAATGGTCACAGGGCATACTTCTGCAAATCTAAACAATGTTCGTCAGTGTTCAGAATCACAATACACAATGGCTTTAGAAAATAACAAAACCTGGGCGTTCTTTGAGTGAAGTCTTTCTCAGTCAAATTCTCCACATATTCAGAGAACCTAATATAGCGACAAATGTTTCTGTGTCAAATTAGAGGTTAAAAACCCAAAACCTGCAAATCCGCCGATATTTAACGCCATGCTCAGAATTCCTTTACGGTTCTCCATTTCTTAATTCCTCTGCATTTCCACGTTCCTCTATCCCTTCCTCAAAATGCAGACCTGGGCTGTCATAATGCAGTTAATTATATGGAGAAACAAAATGTACAAATGACACTTCCCATGACGCATTATGACTACTCCTTGAAATGCAAGCTGTCAGTCAAAGAGGGCCTGTGCTGGTTTACCGATACCGTGATATAGCAAAGTTCTGCACAACACTAATATAAGCCAATGCAGATTCATAGAACCCCAGAACCTTTGGACAATTGTATACTCTCTACACCTGACGAGAGCAGTGAAATAGGTCTAGACCTCTCCTTTCCAACAGTGACCACAATAATTATAGATTTCAGTGAGGATGCATCATTTGAACTGAAAGTTTCCATCCGACTGAGATATTTGTAATCATGTGAGTGCAGTTCGGTAAAAAAGACGCAGTTAGGTGGAGGATTAAAGTCTGTATGAAACCAATTTTATTTGCGTGGCATTGCAAACTGGGCATGAATAAAGATTAGAGTGAAGAAATATATGAGTTAAAGTTAAAAAGGCCCAGTACAGCTGTTTTGACATCCATAACAAATCATTTCTGGGTAACAGTAAATATAATAAAAAGTACTTGCTATAACAGTTTTCAATCAAAATTGTAAAAAAATATATATATTTTTCTCCCCAAAACACAATTTCTCAAGCAAGCATTTTTGCAGGACTGTCTGGGAGTGGCCTAAGATGTAGAGCGGGGGAGGGGACCAGCCCAATAGTTACAGTGGAATAGTAACCTCCAATCCACATTTGTAACTATTGGGCTGGTCCCCTCCCCCGTTGCATTAAATCAGTGCAAAATGAGAGGGATCTCTAAGCTGAAAACAAGTTGGCAGAGAAGTTTGAAAGTGTCTGTTATTGGTCTATTCTTTTATTCTTTAATGTGATCTCACCTGAGGAACCAAGACTCCAACAACGCAAAACCTGCTGAAAGAAGGTCCTGTAGCTGTTCCAATAGACTTCCAGTCATTGCGCTAACGGCAATTAGCAATTGCACTTCAAACTGCATGCAGAGACATAAAAATGGTATTCATGAGTAAAGTCGAAAAAGGGCTTAATCCTTGAGTCTAAGTGGGACAGGGGGGGGTTCTACTAAGCTAACATATGGAATCGTTTAAGATGGTCATACCAAGGATCATTTTGCTTTTTTTATGTAGAATCTTAGGACCCATTTAGGTAAAAAAAAAAAAAAAAAAAAAAACACTGAATTTGTCCTTACTGCTATTAGCCCATAGAAATGCATTGAATAACAGATTCATACATGGAAAAATAGTCAAAAAATTTATCAAAAGGAAGTTTGTTTTGAAGTGTCGGTCCTATATCTGAGTGTTTGGCACTAAACTACTTCCATATATACACACTTCCATCCATTTTTATTTTTTACTGGTACCGGGCTACCTTCAGACCAGTGTTGTGGGCGTGCGTCCTAGAGGAAAGGTGAAAGTGTCACCTTTCCATAGAGGGGTCATATTAGTTTGTAGGCCAAACCGTTCGGGATGTCTCATGGTCTGACAAACACCGCTGTAGCTCGGCCACCTTCCACCGCAGATGCGGTGGACTGAGACACAGCCCATAAAAGAAAAACGGATCTCTAACGTCAACAGACGGATTTTGATAGGGTTAAGACGTCGACAGACGCCAACTCTAGGAGGTTAAATTGCTGAAATCTCACACTATCCCTTTAAAAGCGCATCTTGGCAGAAATGTATATTTACATTTACATCATTTAGCAGACATATTTAAACAAATATTGTAATAATTTTTTTAATCATCTTTTTTAAGGGGCCCCGCTGCTAAATTAATGTAAGGTAAACACTGAACCAGCAACTATTGTGAAATAACTAATTTTCACACTCAAATACTACACTGCTCAAAAAAATTAAGGGAACACTAAAATAACACATCCTAGATCTGAATGAATGAAACATTTTTATTAAATACTTTTCTTTACATAGTTGAATGTGCTGACAACAAAATCACACAAAAATTATCAATGGAAATCAACAAATTTATCAACCCATGGAGGTCTGGATTTGGAGTCACCCTCAAAATTAAAGTGGAAAACCACACTACAGGCTGATCCAGCTTTGATGTAATGTCCTTAAAACAAGTCAAAATGAGGCACAGTAATGATGTCCCAGATGTGCTCAATTGGATTCAGGTCTGGGGAACGGGCAGGCCAGTCCATAGCATCAATGCCTTCCTCTTGCAGGAACTGCTGACACACTCCAGCCACATGAGGTCTAGCATTGTCTTGCATTAGGAGGAACCCAGGGCCAACCGCACCAGCATATGGTCTCACAAGGGGTCTGAGGATCTCATCTCGGTACCTAATGGCAGTCAGGCTACCTCTGGCGAGCACATGGAGGGCTGTGCGGCCCCCCAAAGAAATGCCACCCCCCATGACTGACCCACCGCCAAACCGGTCATGCTGGAGGATGTTGCAGGCAGCAGAACGTTCTCCACGGCGTCTCCAGACTCTGTCACATGTGCTCAGTGTGAACCTGCTTTCATCTGTGAAGAGCACAGGGCGCCAGTGGCGAATTTGCCAATCTTGGTGTTCTCTGGCAAATGCCAAACGTCCTGCACGGTGTTGGGCTGTAAGCACAACCCCCACCTGTGGACGTCAGGCCCTCATACCACCCTCATGGAGTCTGTTTCTGACCGTTTGAGCAGACACATGCACATTTGTGGCCTGCTGGAGGTCATTTTGCAGGGCTCTGGCAGTGCTCCTCCTGCTCCTCCTTGCACAAAGGCGGAGGTAGCGGTCCTGCTGCTGGGTTGTTGCCCTCCTACGGCCTCCTCCACGTCTCCTGATGTACTGGCCTGTCTCCTGGTAGCGCCTCCATGCTCTGGACACTACGCTGACAGACACAGCAAACCTTCTTGCCACAGCTCGCATTGATGTGACATCCTGGATGAGCTGCACTACCTGAGCCACTTGTGTGGGTTGTAGACTCCGTCTCATGCTACCACTAGAGTGAAAGCACCGCCAGCATTCAAAAGTGACCAAAACATCAGCCAGGAAGCATAGGAACTGAGAAGTGGTCTGTGGTCACCACCTGCAAAACCAGTCCTTTATTGGGGGTGTCTTGCTAATTGCCTATAATTTCCACCTGTTGTCTATGCCATTTGCACAACAGCATGTGAAATTTATTGTCAATCAGTGTTGCTTCCTAAGTGGACAGTTTGATTTCACAGAAGTGTGATTGACTTGGAGTTACATTGTGTTGTTTAAGTGTTCCCTTTATTTTTTTTAGCAGTGTATTTAGGGCATTTCAATTACTTTCAAAAACATTGAAGTATTTGGATATATTTTCTTCGAAACTACACATTGGCATGTATTTTAAAATACTAATAGACAAGTGTAGTTTCAAACATTTAAATACTTAATGCATTTGAACCCAGGTCTGTTTGGTCATAGGGGTATTTTAAATAATGCATTTGGAAACACGTATTTGAAAATATAGTTACAAATAGTAGGAAATTATTTGAAAATACTCTCAAATAGAAGTAGTTGATTTGGCCACAATATTTGAAAATACTCAAAATAAGTAGGACTATTTAAAATACTAATACTTAAGGAAGGCAATGACTAGAAGTCTTTAGGTACAGTGGGGGAAAAAAGTATTTAGTCAGCCACCAATTGTGCAAGTTCTCCCACTTAAAAAGATGAGAGAGGCCTGTAATTTTCATCATAGGTACACGTCAACTATGACAGACAAAATGAGAGAAAAAAAATCCAGAAAATCACATTGTAGGATTTTTAATGAATTTATTTGCAAATTATGGTGGAAAATAAGTATTTGGTCACCTACAAACAAGCAAGATTTCTGGCTCTCACAGACCTGTAACTTCTTCTTTAAGAGGCTCCTCTGTCCTCCACTCGTTACCTGTATTAATGGCACCTGTTTGAACTTATCAGTATAAAATACACCTGTCCACAACCTCAAACAGTCACACTCCAAACTCCACTATGGCCAAGACCAAAGAGCTGTCAAATGACACCAGAAACAAAATTGTAGACCTGCACCAGGCTGGGAAGACTGAATCTGCAATAGGTAAGCAGCTTGGTTTGAAGAAATCAACTGTGGGAGCAATTATTAGGAAATGGAAGACATACAAGACCACTGATAATCTCCCTCGATCTGGGGCTCCACGCAAGATCTCACACCGTGGGGTCAAAATGATCACAAGAACGGTGAGCAAAAATCCCAGAACCACACGGGGGGACCTAGTGAATGACCTGCAGAGAGCTGGGACCAAAGTTACAAAGCCTACCATCAGTAACACACTACGCCGCCAGGGACTCAAATCCTGCAGTGCCAGACGTGTCCCCCTGCTTAAGCCAGTACATGTCCAGGCCCGTCTGATGTTTGCTAGAGTGCATTTGGATGATCCAGAAGAGGATTGGGAGAATGTCATATGGTCAGATGAAACCAAAACAGAACTTTTTGGTAAAAACTCAACTCGTCGTGTTTGGAGGACAAAGAATGCTGAGTTGCATCAAAAGAACACCATACCTACTGTGAAGCATGGGGGTGGAAACATCATGC